CGCTCGTCGGCATCGTGGTGCAGCCGCGGAGCGACGAGGAGGCCGAGGCGCGCCGGCGTATGGAGACCCTGCTGTGCAGCGTCTTCGCCCCGCACAGCCCAGCCGTCGAGGTGCACACGGCCGTGTTCTGCCCCAGTCGCCCCGAGGGCACCCTGGCCATCCAGCGCGCCGCGGGTCAAACGCACAGGGTCCCCCTAGTGGATCGGGAGACTCAGACAGATGGTGAGGGGCCTCAGGGCGGAGGGCTAGGAACCCGGGCTGCCGTGGGCGCCCCGGTTGTGGGCCAGGGAGCTTACATACAGGCTTGTCCCTCGACCCTGCAGCTCCCCTGAGCGGCGGACAAATCCCCAACGTCACGACCCTTCTTCCTGGCGCCTCCAGGACTTTGGGGAACTTTTTTGGGCAGGTCCCCTGGGGCATCTGAGTGTCAAAAGGGTTCTGATTAATCCATGGGAGGGGAGCGCACCTCCCACCCCTCTGCCCTACCCACACTTGGGCATCGCTTCTCACTTCTCAGAATAACACTCTTGTAAGGTACTGGTTTGGGCTCTGCAGACAGGGGCTCCTCCGCCCGTCCACATCCACTTGTTCATCCCTTGCTGCTTTAGTCTTTACCAGGGCATAAAAATCACAGTAAGAGCTGCCTACTGTCAAGCAGGCATCATGCTCAGGGCTTGTCACATCACAGCGACCCTCTAGGATGGTGCTAGAGAAACACATGCCTACTCCAGAGTCTTCCCGGCAACCCTGGAGACTTCCTATCCAGGGTCCAAGCCTGTGGCCCCAGGCACTTAATCTGCAGGTCTAAAGACCCTTAGCAAAGAGCTCTTAAAAGAGCCCCAAATACCTTGTCTCTCAAAGTCCCTTCCAGCTCTGCTTTCTCAGGGGCGGCAGTGGGGACCCAGGAAGTGCTTTGGGTGGGGGAGTCCAGATTCTGCCACCTCCGGCTGGTGACCAGAGCTGCCATCCTCTCTATGGGCCAGTTTCCCTCCCATGTGCCATGTAAGAGTGAGGGACCCGTTGATGTCTGGGGTGCCACTGAACCAAAAAACAAACGGTGACATGTTTGGTGCCCAGGACAAATTCAGAGGGCCAGGGCCTTCTGGATGGGGAATTTGGCTTTATCCTGACTGCCTAGCTGCGTATTCCCTTAGACTTCCTCTTCTCGCTCCCCTAATCGCCTGCTCTTACCTGGCGGCACACCTGGTTAGGAAAGACCCTCGCCTAGGGACTGTTCCAGCCAAGCCCAGTAAAAGCCCAGTCCAGCTTTGAAAACAACCCCTTAGCCATGAAGTCTCTAAAATGCCTCATCCGTCACCCACAAACACACTGCCTTCAAAGGCTTCCCACTTTCTTCGTTCTCCTACCTTCACCTTCATTCAATCTGGCCAACTTCCAGGAAGCCTCTCCCCCGGACTGTGAGCCATCATGGTCTCCACGGTCTTGGGGTTGGGCTATGAGAGAGAAGACAAGGCTAGGAATGATTCTAATGCCACACAGAATGTGGTTGGTGTCATACAAACACACTCTGGGCTCAGCGTGGGAAAGATGGCTTCCAGTACAGGAGATGGGTCTGCTTGGGACTGGTCTTGACCACGGCCATGTTTGGGGCGTGGAGGAGGAGGTGATGAGGGGGAGGGCTTTGACAAGTGCAGGAAAAGTAGGCGTGTTTGCGAGACCCCCTGCACTTACAGTGGCCTAGAGCTGGACGCGACCGGCGGCATGGCGGCCCGTTGAGCCCAGGGCATGGGCTGTGATCATATCATAGAGGAGTCAGGCTTCCGGGCTGGGACTTGTGCTCCAGCAGAAGGCGTGGGGCCATGGAAGACGGACCACAGTGCCACTCGCCCTCGTTCTTCCGGGACTCCATCTCTGACCAGTGCCCTGCCTGCACGGGTCCTTGGGGCCGTCCTTACTACATACCCACACGGATTTCCTTTGCAGCCAAAGGAAAACTCTCAGCCCCCAACCCCCCCAAGCGTGCTCCATTTCCTCCCCCTTCTCCCGGGGACAGGGACCTATTTTCTGTGCCCTGTTTGGCCCCTTCAGCTGAAACAGAATGCTACTCCCATTCTACCAGGAAACCCTGCTCTGTGTCTGCCCATATTTGAGTCATTTAAATCAGTGGTTCTCAACCCAGGGCCATCTTGACAGCCCACCCCACCCCCAGGGGACATTTAGCAATGTCCAGAGACATTTTTGGTTGTCGTAGGGTAGGGAGTGCGGGTGGGTAGAGACCGAGGATACTGCTGAACTTCCCACAGTGCACAGCACAGCCTTATCCCACTAACCGCCCGAGATGCCAGCAGGGCTGAGTTAAGAAATCCTGATTCTGGGACCAGCAGTTGGCATAATGGCTATGTCGCTGCACTCCCATGTAGTCGACTGCGGTTCTAGTCCCAGACCCGGTGGCTTAAACACACGCTGTGTGTGCCCAAGATCCCGAGAGGAAAATGGAGAAGGGATTGCGGTGTGGCCATTCCCCCTGGGGGGTGATTTCTCGCTTTATGTCTCTCTGTCTCCCTCTGTCTTTCTGGTGAGCGCACGCGCCCTATAGCAAAAAAAAAAAAAAAAAAAAAAAAAAAAACCCAAATTTTAACCAGGGTGAGGCCCTTAGTCTCAGTTCAGTGGTGCCTGAAATCCAGCTTTGCAGAGATGAACCTTAGGAGTTCCTGACCTCCCTGCTAGATCCCAGTGGGGTTCCTGGCCAATTTCCAGTCTCTCCGACCCTAAATACATCTCCTGGAGGAACCCATTGCTCTGGAACTCAGGGAATTACCACCTTCTGGGAGACTCACTGCTCCCTCAACCTCCTTCCACCAAGGTCAGCCGTATGCACCCCAAGTGGTAGGTGTGAGCCTCCCTTCATTTCTAATCCCTCCTGCCTTTGCATTCTCTTTTCATGCTCCTCATTCAAGGGATTTTTTTTTAACTCGTTCATTTTAAAACCTGTATAATTATCTGACTCCCTGTGTCATTCTGGGGTCACGAGAAGAAACCGGAACTGGAATTTAGCCCTGTCAGTGCCTCCAACCAGCTGTGGGACCTTGGAAAAGTAATTTCACTTCTCTAAACCTGTGTCCCCTTCTGTTTAAAGATAATCACTGAGGTCCTCTCAGGCTTCAGAAGCCCTAAGTGTGCCCTGTCGTCTCATAATTCACGGGTCTGGCCTTTGAGCCATTTTATCCAGCTGGGTCTGCCCCGAGCCTCGCCGCGGGGCAGGAGTGTCAGCCTCAGGTCATGGAGCCAACAGCGCGTGCTCACCTTGACTCGGTGCGTTCGTGGTGGGTGTGGAGTCTCCTCTCTCTTCGTGTGAACATACCTGGCATTGCAGTCCAAGTGCAGTGCAGGTTGTCTTTTCAAGACTTTTCCCTCTTCCGACCTAAAATGAAAAGTTGCGTAGTCATAGTCTCTTGCTCGACCCAACCAATTTGTTGATTGGGAGGGGTCTCTTACTGCCAAAGTCACGAGTTTGAGAACTGTTGGCCTTCTGGATAGCTGTTCCGACGTTAAGAACAATTCCTTGCCACGTGCAAGGGTTCTTGAAGAAGTCAGGATCCCCACGCTCCCTCCTGCCCCTGGGGAGGGCACGCTTTGGAGGAAGGGAGGCTGCTGTAGGATGGTAGAAAGCTGTGAGCCATGGAAGGTAATGCCTTTAGAAAAGCCCTAAGTCTGAGACCAGCAGTTGGCATAATGGCTATGTTGCTAGACTCCCACGTAGTCGACCACGGTTCTAGTCCCGGACCTGGTGGCTTAAACTCAACGCCGGGCGCGTGTACATGTGTACCTGAGATCCCAAGAGGAGAATGGAGGAGAAGGAACTGTGGTGTGGCCATCCCCCCTGGGGGGTGATTTCAAAAGGATTGTGGTGTAGCCACCCCCCCGGGGGGTGATTTCTCGCTTTCTGTCTCTCTGTCTCTGTCTTTCTGGTGAGTGCATGTACTCTGCAGCAAAAAAAGAAAGAAAGGAAGGCCCTAGATCTTCAGGAAGGTTCATTTTGTCCTAATATGGACAAAATAGGGCCAGCAGGTGGCATGGTGGTTAAGGTGCTGGATCCCACATGGCCAACTCCATGGTTCAATTGGTGAACCTGGTAGCTTGAAAAACACACCAGGCATGTGTGCATGCATGTCCCAAAATCTTGGAAGGAGAATGGAGGAAAAGGAATTGTGGCATGGCCATCTCCCCAAGGGTAATTTCTCCCTTTCCCTCTCTCTGTCTCTTCTGATGAGCACACATGCCTATGGCAAGAAATTTAAAACAGACAAACAAAACTCATAAAATGCATAGTGAGCATAGGGTTTCTTTTCTCTTTGGGGGGTGGTATGTGGAAGCCAGTGACAGAGCTGAGCGCCGCAGCCACGGTGCCTTAGAGGGACCCAGGAGTATGGCAGGAAGGTGTCTAAAGATGGCGCTTCCCCAGCAGAATCTTGAGGGTCCGGTTCTCCCAGGCCCCACAGCCAGGCTTCCCCAGCCTGAAGGGCAGGGCCACTGCACCCCTCAGTCTGTCCCTGCAGTGTGGAGGAGGAAGGCCTCCAAGCAGGTGTCTGCGGAGAAGGCTGTCCCCAGAACTTTGCCTGGGAGCCACCCTGGCTTTTGTGACCTCACAGGAGGTGCGAGTGACTGTTCTCTGTGGGGCCCGGGTCCAGCTGGAGGCCAGAGCCATACTCCCAGGGCAGAGGGCTCATGGCCCCTCCAGGAGGGAGCCAAGAAATTAGGCAGCTCATGTAGGTCCACGTTAGGTTGGGACGACCCACCATGAAGAAGGGCAAGAAGAAAAGGTCAGAGCCCAGGCGCCGCCGGGACTCAAACTCCCAACATACTAGCTCGGACTCCACCCCGCCGCAGCCAAGCTATGACGCCTCTCCCCGGCAGCCCAGCCCTGAGCCTGCTCCCCGGCAGCCCAACCCTGAGGCCGCTCCCCGGCAGCCCAACCCTGAGCCCGCACCCCAGCCTCCTGCCCCAGAACCCACACCGCAGCAGCCTGAGCCCCCGGCTCTTCCTCCTCCTGAGGCCCGACGCTCCTCTCGGTGCCTGCTGTCTGCCGATGCCAAAGCCAAAGCAGCCCCTCAATCCAGGAAAACAGGTGGGCAGTCTTCTAGCCTCCTGCC